AAAAAAAATTAATGATGAGACTATCTAGTTCGACCTTTTTTCTATTGAAATTAGCTCAGACCTACTCATTACTCCCATGTAATTCATCAAAAAAAAATCCAGACGTCATTCTCCAATAAAAAAGGCAGCAAAAATGTGTTCCGGATACAGAACGAAAATAAGTTCAGGACCCAGGAAATGGTCATTTTCGAAAGCAGCACTTTGGAGGGACCTTTTTGGGAGGATGAAAGCATTGACTTGTCCATCGGCTGGGTACCGCAAACCGTTTTCTAGGCTACATACGCATTCAATACACTACTATGATTCCGAATCAAAGTTGAATGCCGGGCGCAACTTTCAGACAGGATGGATTAGCGTTTAAAGAGACTATCCTTTCATTTCTCCCCCATCTGGAGGAGTAAAATGCTATAACCAGTAGCTCTAACCTGTTGCATAGCTCTCTACTCGACTGGTCACGAAGCTCTCCTTGATTTGGAAGTCTGGGAGACGGATTTTATGCAATATCAGCGCTTTTATTCGCCCTTGTGACCATACATATCGGACTTGATCAGCTGTATAACCATCTGAAAAATTATTTATTATTTTTGAAAATGGATTGCTTTGTAAATATCTAATAACTACAGTGGGTTCAAGTACAAAAAAGAAGAAGTCTCGAGCAGATTGAACTCACAACTTTCAATTCCAAGCTTGCAAAGCTGTGAGTCGAATGGGAACAAGGTAAGATCCATCCCTGGAACAATAATTGCCTTAATGCTACCTTTGTTCAATTACTCCATTAAAGAGTTTTTCGGCTTTGAGGGCTTCCTTACAGAGGGGCGCACAGCCCTTCCGTTTCAAAAATGAGGACTTGATTTCAAGAATGACCAGTAAATTTGCAGAACCCAATAAATTTGTTATTTGTGAGCAAGTCATCGGGAAGTTCTGCGAATAAAAATCAAGCTCGGTAGATGTAATGCTCAGCCCTACGTAAGATGTAAATAGTTCCTCAAAAAACCTATGGGCCACACCAAACCATTGCGCTACTTGTAAGATTTTCACAAGAGACACTCAAAGAGAATTTCGACAAGGAAACTATTGAGAAACCTTACTTGGGAGCAGGAAAAGACAACTTCACAAACGTGCTGAAGCCCTTTATTTCTAGGAACAATTTCCTTTGTCTAGTTCTACGAGTCGACCTCCCTCAGAGATTTCTCCTTAACGGTTAGACCTACCCCAAAAAAAGATTCAGGCAGCACTAGCGATGTCATTCTTTCCATTGATGTTCGCTAATGTTGCCATAAGAAGTACGTCAGGGGATACTCAAATAAGTGCTTTTAAACGTATCACCCAGTCAATTCAAAACTTACTACAATTTAGGCTGTTCCCCATAATTAGGATTAATCTTGTTGGTGGCCCAAGATGGTGAAAATTTGTGGGTGATGCTACAATTCGGTCCAACCCAGATCGATTCCAACAAAAAGCTCTCCTTGCGATTTTTGGATTTCAATTGATCAGGTTGCTGGCCAGAAGAGGCTTTTGACGTCTACGGCCGCGAGAATTTAGATCGATTCCATTCGCTGCTTTTCATTTTTGAGTCAAAAAGCAAAGTAGGATGCTGACTTCCCAGCTTCATAAATCCCTCAAGAAATGATTTCCTTCTGTCTGCAGGTCTTTTTGAGGACTCAGAGCTGTGTTAAAACTCGGATCCCTGTATGGAATTATTCCATGGTGTTTGTTCACAGGACTTTTGAGGGTTTCGCAAGGGCGAATACGCTAGAACCATAGAGAAAAATTCTACAACATCCGGTCCCGTGCATGCGTCGTACTCCCTTTTTTAGGCAACAAGTCCAAGGCTTGAAGTCTTTCGGAACGGCTCAAAATTATGACAACTGACGGCAACTACTGGGAGAATGGCCACGGCCACCCCGAAAACAACTCAAAAAAACTGGCAATTTTTGACGAGTTGATTCCAGTGTTGCAAAAAACTGGAGTAAATAGCTTTTGCTCAAGGAGGGGTTTGAGTAGGGGTTTTGAGAGGAGATTTAAGGACCACCAAAAGATGAAAGGCTAGCTATGTTATTGTCTTGTTGCCGTATGGAGGAGGCAGAGCTGTACATACTTTCTCAAATGGGATAAGATAAATTGGTAAACTACCTACCACAAGTTACTACCAGTGATAGACGTCGACTGTAGAGAATACTGCCATCGCTCCGTAACCTGAACAGAGTAAAAGTCGAAATACGCTTGAATTGATTTTCATTCGTCTCACAAGGTAGGCGATTTATATACAAAACTTCAGCCTCGGACAGGACTCGAATCCGTACTTGTGCTTTCCGGGAACCGTGCTCTACCCCTTGCACTACTGAGACCCCGCTTGCCCCGTCTTCAGTCGATGAATTTCACTTGTATTTATTCTCTGTTGTTTGCCTCTTACTGCAAGGCTTTCAACGGAGGGCGGGGCTAATCAGTATGGGCGGAGCTTGCGACAGAACCGCCCATTCACTTACAGGACGGCCCCAAAAGAGGTTTTTGGACGCATCAAAAGAATGAACATCAGAAAGGGCGTAGAGAGGGGGGGGGGGGGGGGGGGGGGAGGGGGGAAAGGTGCAAAAAGGGTCTCGGAAGATATGAACTACCAAAGTGGCTTGGTGCTCTGATATCTCGACTTCTTCTTTCATCTTCACTTTTACTACTACCATATTATCGCATTACCTTGTTATTTATTATCAAAATCTCAGCAATAAAGATTGATCACGAAACCGATTGGGATGCCTTTAATCGAACCTTTGGATTTCCACTAGGCCTAAGCGATTTTATCACTGCCCTACTTTCTTGTATTTATTTAAGAAAAAATGAATAAGACATCCAACCTTCCCAATTTTACGTGGTCAAGCTAACTGTAGTGGAGCTTCCAAACCCACTTTTGTCATGAGAGCCTACAAAAGATTTATATGTCGGGTCGGTGTCTGTTGGTGCCCCACTAGAAGCTCTAGTCCCATCCATAACCACTAGGGCATTGGAAGGGTTGTTTGTCTTAACTGAATGCCTTGCAGAGTTGTATTGACTCAAACTCTCGACTCTTACTGCCACAGTTGTAAAAAGGCCGTCAGCTGATTGAAGCCATGCATTAGCCTCTTTTGGGAATAAATGGAACTCTCTGAGAGGCTATTTTCAGAACACCACTTGAAAATTGCACAACAGCCTTTCTTTTCCTATAATGTGGGCCAAAAACTACGGAATATAAGGTCTACCGCTGCTCTCTGCCTACTCCCTAACATCGAATGCTCTGAAAATTCGCTTGAAAAACGGTCTTTGAATGTTTCCTGTCAAGGTTAGGGGTTTTCATTCTTCTTTTCCTATTAATAAGGGAATTGTTATAATTGGTATAATTTTAAAGAAGAAATAACAGTAAAAAATAGTACAAATTACCGTAGTAAGGATCTATGTGTGATACTCTGCTTTCGAGGATTTTTCGAAGCAATTGCGTTCGGCACGAAAGTGTCGGGATGCCAAAGAAAGTTCGAGTAGCTTTCGTGTAACGAGATTTCCGTCTAAAAACCACAGCATTACAAAGAGGTGTCTAAGAAGTTCGACTTACTCTTTTTATGCATCGATTTTTTCATGTTATTACTTCTGAAGAACTTTAGACTAGGCTGGAAACTCTAGCAGTCTATCTCGGTATGCGCCATGTACTCAACAACAATTACGAATTAGGGAGACCATGATCGAACGCGATTCCCCTACACACATAATGACTTCAGGGGTCAAAAACGAATTTTCTAGTTAGTTCCGCATGGTCTCAGCCGTGTAGCCCCAAAAATTGAAAACGAAATGATCGATTCAGGGAAAATGGTGGTAGTGATCATAAAATACAACTTTCTGCGCGATGGTTTCTGTTATAATCCTGTAGTGCTTTTGAGCCAAGAAAAAATCCAAATTCGGAATATTTCAATCAGTAAAACTTACTTTATTTTTGAATTTTGCTCTACTATATTTGAGCCTTGGATCTCGCCACGCTTCACGATAGAACATCTCAATAGAATAGTCCTGGAAGAGAAACATCAGTTCGACTAGGCGTTTCAAACTGCAGTGTAACTTGATGAAATTCAATAAAATTGATTAACAACCCGTAAAACAAATGCTTAATAGAATAATTATCAAAAAATGTGTAGGTGCTACAGCCAACTATACGGTCTATATCTAAAAAAACTCGAAAAACTACGATCTCCTGCTTAAAATAGCCTACCATTGTGACTTCGGACACTGACCGCACATTGCTGACTACAATGGAGACGTTAATCGTGACGGGACCTGAATGACTGCATTGGAGAGGTGGCATTGTATCAAGGAAATCGAAAAAACTCCCTTTCAATAAAATAAATTGAAGGAGAGCCGAAAAAACTACGTCATTAGGAGGGTTAATATTACCCGAACGTTCGCAGGGGGTAGTTTTCCACGAAATTTCTGTTGCGCACATCTACTTTTCAGTAGTATCTATCTATCTTGTTCCTATTCCACTGTGCTTGTCATTCTGGACGATTTTGAACGGCAACTCGTCCGAAATGACAACAGGAATTGGAACCATCCCCTGGAACAGCGATGCTCCGCCTCCTTAGCTCTTGTACGGCCCACTACTTTTTCAGATTTGGATCTCTGAAATTCATTTTAAAACGAAATCATGAACGTACCTCCATGTTCGTCATCCGGACATTGTCGGTGATCGTATCTGATTTTTCGTAAAAACTGCAGAAAATCCCGTGTTTCCCTGGAAAACCACCTAAGAAAATTGCATCACATTGAAAGATAACTCGTCCAAAATGACAAGTACAGTGGCTCACCCTTGTTCATAGATACGAGCTCTGTCAAGTTCATTTTTTGTGTACTCCTGTTCTTCTTCTTCAAGATCCTCCAATTCCTCGATATTGTCATCCGAGTCCATCGATTGTTGATGGGATTTCTTTAGCACAAGGGCTCCTCGGACAGCGCTGGCCTATGAGTTATCGGCTCATACTTGCAAACAGGCAGAATGTTGGAAATGAAAATTGGAAGAAGGCAGGAGGGTAGAGGAGAAAGTGGGATGAGAAGCGTGCCAGATCGAAAATAATACAATTACTTCAGCAAGGGCTAGTTGTCTTACCTCTTTATAAGAATTAACGAGGATCACAGCCAAAAATATTGACTTCATTTACTCGGATATATTCCCTTCAGCTCTCCAATTCAGCTATATGGTCTTGATGGTCCCGGAAAGATACCTATAAATAAATACGAAAAAAAATCGTGAAAAGCGATGGATGGGATAATGGCGGTAAGTGCTTCATTAGAGTGAGAAAATGCTCCGTCCATAAAAGCCAGACGATCGAAAAACTTCAGGAATGGCGTCAAGCGATAAAGGATGATGAAGTTTGAAAGTCGTAAGGAAAAAGCTTAGGGGAACCTAAAACCACAGTTTTATAGCAATTTCAGGAATCTATTTTGAGGTTTTTGGGATTCTTTTTTTATGGGCTTGTGGTCTTTTTGGATACTTTTTGCATGATTACTGGAAATCCCCAATTCAACCAGATAGTCTTGGTGGTTCCAACAAAAGAATACCTATAAATGGATGAGGAAAAATTGCATTAGTAAAGGAGATAATGGTTGCATTCACTTATCGATTCATTAGGAACAAAATGTCTGGCTCATAAAATGGAAGAAAATTAGCAGGTACACCATGGAAATGACTGGGGCGACCAATAATGGATGGAGGTCACGGAAAACCGTGATAGGAATAGAAGGAACCTATTACTACGATGTCGATAATCGTCTCGTATCAAAGAATCAAGTAGAAAGATTAAATCCAAGCCCTAATCAACTCCATCTAAGGGATGCGCTCCGCATTCCACTTGATTCAAAATCGGAGCAGCGTTTGAATGCGTATTCGGCTGATACAATGACAAGTGGTGGCCAGCCAATGTACAAGTCAGCGCTTTTAACCTCCCAGATGAAGTCTGGTAACAAGTCATCGACCCCGGAGGGATCGAAAGCTTGGTGGGCCAAGGCAAACTAGGATTTGTACCTGTGACCATGACTGTGTGATAGTGTGTCAATTTTCACTACATCACCTTCCCGGACCAATATCCAACCAGTCCAAACAGTTCTTCCATCCTTTCGGTGTCGAACTAACTGGTATCAGACTCGTCTGGGAGGGTAAAATCACTGACATGTACATCGGCAGGCCACCGCAAGTCATTGTATGTATAGGTCACATACCATACGTATTCAAAGCCTCCCTACGATTCTAAATGGGAGTCGAGTACGGGAGCTCATCGCGGAAATGGGAATGTATAAAGTCAAGGAATCCGTCCTCTGATATTATTATTATTGCCATTATTATTACTGCACCTATTATTATTACTATCATTTTTTATTTAATGCCTGCCCATGCCCAATGCTCCTGTGCCCCATCAGGAAAGGCAGATTATGGGCTACTGGGCTAAAAAGCATAAATCAAACCTATCTAGCGGCATAAATGCAGAAGTCTTATCGGACCTCAACGCTTTCAAGTAGAATCAGAGCAAGTGCAAAGTTGTAAGCTCAAGTATTTGGTAGTAAACACTATTCTCAGACTTCTTCACAATATGTCCCAAGTGGGCCGTTTCAGGCCCAGTTGTAATTACTCCGATCCGCAGTTATCTGAATAGAACCCCTTTCCGATTGGATCGGACGACTGCCTTTCTGGTAGTTGCACGGGTTGAGATGCATGGCAGGCCTCCGGGACCTAATTAAGCTGTTATTAAACTTCTTCCCAAGTATAAATTTCGTTTGATCAAACTCTAACAGGTCATGCGAGTCTATGAGCATTCTAGGGAAAAGGTCTAAACGGTCGGACATCAATTTTCGACATAATTATTTGTTATAGACTTATTTATTGAGTAGGAGAGAGTTGGTGCAGTGCCATGTAGGGCATCAACCCACACATGAGGGCCTGGACGGATATCTATCCGGGAATCGAATTACGGGGTAGCTGGTATCCGCCATACTAACCAAGACTGTCGGCTAAATGCTACCGGACTCATGTGGAAGAATGAAAGCAATTACCTGAACATTGGTGGCGTTGTATAAACCTCATACGCATTCAAACGACCACAACTATTCGAATGGAAGTCGAATGCATGGGTGAATCCCACAAATGAGATCGGACAACGCCGAGAGACCTTATCATTTGTCCGTCATTAATAAAATTTCTTCATCTGTCAATAGTCGTTTCACCAGGGAGCCCCCGACCCCCCTCCCCAGGTTTTTCTTATCTAGGAAGCGAATGGCTCTATGGTTCTAAGAGCCAGTCCGAAAAGCCCAAAAGAACTGCTTATTAAACTCTTCTGGGGTGTTTACCTTTTGTAAACAATGCTCCTTCATTCTTTTTTGAAATCTTTGGCTACTCAAAATTAGCTAACACGGAGCTTTAAGAGGCGAAAATGAAAGCCGAGACGGACACGATCACCTTGGCGAATGAACGAGATAAAGGTAATGGCGATAATCCAATAGTGATAATAAAAATTATCAAAGCAGAACAAGCCAATCAGAATCTAGCAAGCATTAAAAACTTTAGCGAAAATTTTCGGACGAGTTGACCATGGGAGTAATGTCTATAGCATGTAATCCGGTTGCACTAGAAACGAATAGGAATAATCCTCGTTCGAAAGCCAGTGGAATTAACTAGTAAGATAGGAGATGACAGAAGAATTTGTCACAGCTGACATATAGTTTTTAAAACATTCAGACATGTCTATGGCGCAAGCATGGCCGTAAATGAGCTCGCCGGTTGGCCAGTTTTGGGAAAATTCGAGATCGATTTTCGTGTAGATCACGTAACCATGAAGTTCCTCCACGGTAGGTCAAATACTTGTCTAAAAAGGTGTATACAACGTAGTAATTCTTGAAAAAGCACATTCTTGATACATTCAATTCCAGACAATAGTCTTTTGATAGCAATCTTGGACTGAATGGACCCCTGAATGAAATGAATTTGAACGATCAAGGATCAGAATGAGCTAGCTCGGGTTCTATTGATCCTGCTTCAAACGGGCCCACCGTTTAATTTCCATTTAGAATCGTAGTGGTGACCTATACAATGACTTGAGCAGGCTTCCTTAGTGCCAGACTCATCTGGGAGGAACACAACGACTTGGATGGCCTAGACGAGTATCGGCCCGGGAATCGATCCCCGGACCATGCGTGTGGTAGTGCGCCGCTTGCCACAACACCACCTTTGCCTATTCGATGAATATGCAAACTGTACTTCTGATACTGCAGAAACTTGAAATCTCCAAAGTTTTCTAAGATTCCAGAAGGTTAATTCCAAAGAGATTTCGAGGGTTGAACAAAGGTCTTTCAGCATAATCAGAAAAGCGTGTACCCAGAAAGGAAAACTAGGAACTTGGTCTTCCAAAAATTTTTAAAATTCGAGAGAAACGTTCAAAAATGGATCGACCAGTGCGGCTGTTCATAAAATGAAGGCGAAGCAAAGCGTTTGCGCCTCGGGGGACAATTTAGTTGCGTTCGCCGAACATCATTCAAGACTTGTTCTAAACTGAGTGACATCTTTTGGGACCATGACTTAGGATTCGTTGAAATAACCCCGTCTAGACATAAAGCAATCTTTTTCCAGTGTCACACAAAAAAAGGCCGTGAACGAGAAGCTCGAGAATGGAATTCTCAAAGCGTTTGTGGACATCATAGCCTCAAAAAAGAGAACAAGCTGAAACAATGAGAAAAAAGGAAATTGTCGAGGAGAAGGTAGGAATAATCGGATGGAAAGAAGAAGGAACATGCTTTTTGGTGCCTACCACTAGAATTCGTTCAACGAGCAAATTACAGTTAGTAGAAGAGTCCAGTCCTATCAAATTTGGTGTGAGCCATGCCTCTGACTTCCCTTCAAAATCGTAA